CGTCGCTTGTGCGGCCGGAAGCTCGAGATCCCGAAAATACTTTCCCAATCGTTCCCCTCGACCTTTCCACCGGTCTCTCAGAGTTCCTCCTACGATCCGTTCCTTGGTCACGGCAGTCGAAGAAACATCATCGACAGAGGCCGCGTCAACAAATACAACACTAACAAGTAACAACTACAAGCTCACATCACATTCGGTGAAACAACAAACCTTCAGCACAAGAATGCCGTGCTGTGTAAGAAAAGAAGCAGTTGCGGCCGCAAGGGAATGCCATTAAGCAGGCGGGGTACAACCCCACAGGAAATTCCTAGCAAGACCGCACGAATGTGTTTGCTGTTGGCAGCTCGCTCGGCTGTCTGTAGGTTCGTGTTTCCACAAGAAACACTATAAAGCATCGGGAAGATCATCGCGCCTTGTATTCTCCGTCTTCGTCTGCGAGGTGAGCTTCGGATCTCGGACGATGCATATCGGAAACGAGTCGGTCGTTATTCACTCAGTTCGGTGTTTAACAGTGAGGCAAGCTCTCGGCGGCCCGAGTCTATGCTTCCGTTTTCACGCTCAGAGCAGCCAGCACATACACCGAGTGAAACCGATACCTCAGATAAGGGAGTCCGGGAGCTCGGATAGTGCCTTCAGGAGCAACACCTGGTGCGTTCCGGCTCGGGGTGCGAGCAACGGTGATGAGCGAATGCGATATATGATGATAAAAATAATTTGAGAGTTAATATAAACATCAACGCAACAAATGCTGGTAACGAGCCCCGAACTCTGATGCCTTCGATCCTGAATCATCACCAGTTGCAATATGTTTGGATTCTCCGGCACCATCGGGCCGCTGCGTTCATTATGAACTCAGTCGTTTCTATCTTGTTTGTTTGTTTGTTCGTTCAGAGATGTCGAAAATGGTGGAATGTCGGTGTCGCAAAACAAATCTCATAACGGATGCGGCAGGCTCGTATGTTATTCATTATGAGCTCGGGTGTTATTGTCGACCAGAATGTCGGGCGAGTCCGGGAGGAGTTTGGTCGAAGTTCGACGTTAAAAAATAATCAGTCGAAGAGTTGGGTACGAGAGAAAAAGTGGAGACGTTGACTGATAGCTCCGCTTCACGTGCTGTGTCTGCGTACGTTATTCAGAAAATTCTCCGGAGATAGATTGCGAATAATTCAATTCCCTTGGACTTGATGGGAACCGAGGTTCGTATCGGGAAGCGGGAACGGTTGGCCGAGCAGTAAATTTCGGATTCCAAGAAAGCCGCCATTCTGATGAAACCGTGACTTCTATAATAATTGAGGGCGGGAGCCAGGATACGGGGAAGGTTTAAGATGCCTTGATTCTGAACTTGAGCAAACGATCAATATTCAGACGATCGAAGGAACGAGCCACCACCCTGATCGATTGTTGTCCATCATCGACAAACTCGGCTGGCGTGAAACGAAGCGACGAAGTTTTTTTCCGCAAGCTGTGAGCGAGCGACAGAACCGAGATCGTTTCGTGTCCGCTGTGCTTCGGGATCGGGGTTCCGATTCTCTCCAGTCGTTTCTATCGTGTTTGTTTGTTTATTCGTTTTTTCAGCCACGAAATAGAACTTCCTTCCGAAGTCGCGAGTTTCCCATATTTCGTCTTGAGAACTCCATGCTTCATTGGATATCGCTGTCCATTCCTCCCGGGTCGGTCAATCTCACGACGAACTCTGTCTTGCGTGCCGCTCCTTCTCGTGCTGACGCTGGACGGGTGGTCGATCGACGTTGCAAGATAGAGCCCGACAAGCAACGCATGTTGGAGACTCGCTTCAACCGAGAATCTCATTACTAAATGCAACCGACCTTCGGTGTCTTTCTTTCAATTCCACAAAGCCTTCACTCCACGCAGTGGACAGCTCGCTTCTGAGCCTGGAACATTCTTCTCCGTGGTGTCTTCTCCCTCTCGGCCAAGGGAAGAGTATGAAGCTGACAGGAACCCTGGAACAGACACCAGGGGCCACGATGCAGCGCAACGAGGGCGGTCGACGAGTACTGCTTGACAAAATTTTGATGAGGCGCAAACGTATTGTGTCACGTAGCGTCTGGAGGTGGGACGGAATGCAGCTCACAGCCTCGTGAGGCCATTCGTGTTGTCTATTCTTCGTACGCAGATACTAGTTTCCGCACCATAGAACGGTGCGCTGAACTCGTTGCACAATGAATTATTGTGGCTCGAGTCGCCGACAGCGGACGGGTGGCCTCGTCGGTGGTAGGAGGAAAAACTGTCATCCGTGCTGGTGACAGACCGCGATTATTAAAGCCACCTGACAGAACCCGAATATTTTGCTCACGTCCCGATTTCGGCTCGGATAGCAGATCCGAGTTTTAGTGGTGTTGAACTTGGCAAATGTTCGGCCAGCACCAGCGGCAAGCAGGATATCACGGCAACCATTTGCTTATCGGACATATTGTTATCTTTCGCCTCAGCAGACCTTATGGGGCCGGCTGGCTGAGTTTTGGGATACGAATCAGGCTTGAAACTCAGTCGCTAGAAGGAGCGAGAGAGATCAGACCCGGATGTTCCGCCCCCCCCCCCCTTCTGTGACTCATGCGGAACCCGAGATCGTTCTCCCTCGGGAAATCTCGCCGCTTAATCGCGGCAGGTCGTGTTCCGATGTGACCGGTTCTGAATTCCATTTCAGTACAAAGATTCATTCCCTAAATCTTCCATCTCGAGAGAACCTGTCGACCCCAATATTTATTGAGGCTGTCGACGCGCATTCCCTTCCGGCGCTAGCTCGGACTCGGTTCCAGCCCCGAATGAGGAAGCTAACAGCGGTCTTGTACGGTCCGCCATCAGAAGAACGTGTTTTATTCGCTAAGTCTCTCGTTGAAATTTCAACAGCCGAGCGCGTCCGGCGGGCTTCCTCAGTCCGCTGCATGCTTGGAGTCGGTTTGTTGGCTGAATCTCTGGGGCAGCGGAGTGCGTGCGTGGACTGTCGGGGGGTGTAGCGTGATTTGTTTACGAACCCTTCTCGCCCCGGAAAGCTGGGAAAGAGTCAGCAGGGCGTTCGGCCGGCCGGCCAGCAGACAAGCAGTCGACCGGCCAGGCGTGCGGCACCCAGTCAACGAGCTAGGCAAACGAGCTAGCTGGCTGCCGCCGCGCCGCAAGGTCGTTCAGGGCAGACTGCTTGGATTCTCGGATGTGACAAGTCATAGTTAGGACTCCGCGTAAATGGACTCGAGTTGAGACCAGGCCGGGTGACCCATCCACGTCGCTGAACTGACGGGCAGATTGTACATCATCGTCGAGGTACAAAAACCGAAGAGACCACCGCCGACATCGTCGTTACTTTGCACGTCAACACGAGCACGATTCGAAGCATCATGCAGGTGTTCCCCCCAGAGGCGAACCATGGGGTTCGGCAATAAAAATTCACCGTCGGGAGTTACGCGACAAAAATTAGCGGCCGGGGACGAAAAATGAGAGAAGGCCGAAAACCGGCGACGAACATTATTTTCATGCTTACCGAGGCGAGGTCCCTCTCCTGTTCACTTTGAGATGGCGAGCGACTGAAGAATGAGATTTCCGATCGGTGAAACCTGAGACATTTCCCGAGTGATCTGAAATGACGGGAGAGCTCCAGTTATTGTTTCTGCCGGAGCGGATGGCTTATGGGTGCTTCGTCGTGGATAGTCGGCAATCCTCGAAAATCGATCCGTCGACGAGCAGCTGGGGGACATCGAACCTCTTCCCGAAACTCGAATAAACCTGTTCCTGGAGAGAGAGAGTGGCGAGTCTAACTCTAGCTCGCGAGGGAAGGAAGCGACGAGGATTCTGTCTTCGACGAGCCCTTCAGAGTGTACCTCCCGCGAGTTGACGTTATATTTAGTCCGAGTTGGTGTTTTCTCCTCGGTCGCAGGCGTGCGTCGATCCGCAAAATTCTAAAAGCAGAATTCCGCTCCATGGGGCGAGCTCTTCCGCTCCTTTTCTGCAGCGGGACAAGGGCCACGGACGTCTGTACGCAATATACTGCAAATAAAACCGAGGAGGGAAAAAGCATCATCTCTATGTCTGATTACCAGTCAGCGGGGATCTCCCGCTGTGCGCGGACTCGCATCATGGGTCGCTCGGGCTCACAATGAGAGCAACCTTAATAACGGAAGTGTACGGAAATGCCCCCGCCGCCGCCGACGCGACGACCTATGCCACAGCCTGTACCCGGCTTTAGTTATGGCTTTGAAGCTATGAGGCGTCACCTAATTTTGCAGAGCTCTGATTCACAATACCGCTGAAAGCTTCATGGAAAAGTCGCATCATGCCTCGTCGACGCCGAGCGATGCAATCAGGCTCCCTCGTCAGCAGACGAACCAATCAAGCGGAACGCGTCTCACATCGACTCAATTGAGAATAGAACTGGCACCGATGATTTGTTTCTGTTGTTTTTGAGTCTGTTCGCAGAACGTGCCGTTCTGCATTTTTCCGGCGACCTTCTGGGGATCGAGTTCGTTTCCCTCACGTTCGACGCGCATTAGCGAATGAGAGGAACGGGTGGGCACGCCCGAAAGGCTGAGGAATGGACCTCTCCTGAATATGGTCTCGTACGCGATTTTCAAGTAACGGGATTACACAACGTGCGTCTGTGGCCCGGTGAGCCACAACGAGCGAGCGGGCGAGCAGAACGCTAACAACGGGCTCGCCCGCTCGTCGCTTGTTCGGAGGCCTGAGATGAGCGCTCGTGTCGTCATCTGCAGGAGCACCTGCAGCAGAAGGGCGTAAATTTCCGCCCTCGCCTCCACATCGATGGGTCGTCTGGTCGATCGGCCATCCCGTTTGGAAGTTGAAGTGAATATGTAGCGATTCTTCGAGGAGACGTTCCAGTCGCGTCGTCCGCCTTCTTCAAGGGGCATCCGATCCTAGCCAGCCTCGATCTATCGGCATCATGGGAATAGAATAACGCTTGGCTAAGATTAAATGCGCCGTAGAAAGTGCGAGAGAGATGTGACTCTAGAAAAGAACAATTTTTCTTCTTCCAGGTGTTCCCTTCCCTCCGTCGCACAAGCTGACCATTAGCGAGGTGTTCGACGCGAAAACCGGCAAGCCGCGCATCGATGTCCTCAAGCAACACTTCATCCACGAAGGCCGAATCGAGGAAGCCGCCGCCCTTAAAGTCATTAATGATGGCGCGGCCCTCCTTCGCCAGGAGAAGACTATGATCGACATCGAGGCACCCGTTACAGGTAGGTCTCTCGATCAATTCCTCAGCTAGGCATACCTTCCCCTCGCCCGGACTCTCCGGTTGGTGTTCTGGTCTCGGAGCCCTCCTTCAATGAGATCATCGGAACTCCGCTCTTATGTACATATATATTAGAATATCCCTGCATCTTTCGAGTACTAGTAAGTTGAAAATACTGTGCGCATATCTCCGGGGTCCGTCTAGGGATTTCCGGGAAAAGGAGCCCGCCGCCTATCCCAGGACTCCGGGAACGCACTCTCTCGAAGTCCGGGCTCGCTTCGTTCCCGATCCTATCTTGCTCGCCGCAAAGGCGGTCGTTCCTGCATTGCCCTCGCAGGCAAGCAGCAAGCAAGCATCTCCAACTATTTATGGCAAATTGCGGCCGATCCGGGCTAGCTGTAGGAAACGACCTTTGGCGGGGATTCGATGGCCGATCTGGAACGACTTCGGTCCACTAGTCCGCATTGGCTTGTTCGCAGCCTGTTAGCAGCTCTTGAATAGATATGCTATAGCCCGAGCGTCTAATCCCGAGCTGTCCACCCGATGGCAGCTGGCTTCAACAAGTCATCACGTATGTGCACGCATAGCTAATGATGGATTCTGGTTCGGAGGGTCTTCCCGGAACTCCGTGGAATCCAGCCGCGAGCTGATATCGTGGAGACCAAGCCGATCATCCACGATTAAAATGTTTTCTCGATCGCTGCAGAGGGAAACGATGCTGATCAGACGCGAGTGGGGCAGAGGGGGACGCACGGGGCTCCAGCCAGTAGCGTAGTAAGGTAGGGCGGCACTTCCTACGGAGCCTTTAGGGGCGGCATTTCGAGGATTTGCACCCAAAAAAACGGAGTGTTTTCGAGGAAAATATCTGGCGGGGGGCGGCATTCTCGTCGGGCACGGTGAAAAAACAGGAAAATTCGAATCACCACCCCGGGCGGCACTCCTGCTCGCTACGCCACTGGCTCCAGCCTCCTCCCGGATTGTGCATTCGTAATGCTATGGTATATAGGAGAATAATCGCCGTATTGTACATCGGTCCTAAGCGGAGATCCGATGCAGCCCCCCCCTCTTCCCCGGAAAGAGATTCTGCAGACGCAATTGATAACAGCATTAATAAGGAACAAGTCGTCGCAAATATCACCAATAAGCTGGTATAGGTCAAGCTCTCCGCTCCGAGAGAAATTGATCCTCATCCAATCCAGGTTAATGCAATTCTAGAAATGCCGCCATCCCAAAAAAAAAACGCTCGCGGCGCCCCCCCCCCCGTCATCCACGCGGGACGGGATGGAGGGACGAGGCCACTGAAAATTCCGGAGGGGAGCATCAGCGCCCTTCGGTGGACCTGGAGTTCGGAGCGGAAGTTCCTGCGGGTATCCTCGGCACACGATCGCTTCGAAAATGGGAGCTGTCCGGGCTCCTCATTCAAAATCCTGAGTATATTCCATCAATAGTTTCGCGGACGTTGCCTATCGCTCACAAAGAAATGATCGGCTTGGCGTGGGTTCTCCGAGAACACAGGTCCTCTGGCGGTATAATTACAGAGATCACTCCGTCTGAGGAATGAATATAAAAAGGTCGCTCGGAAGTCCGGCACGTGTATGGGCAACTATAAGCGTTTGATTGTTTGGGGCATTCCATTATCTTCATAAGGTTGCGGGCAGCGTTAGAGCGCTTAATATAAGTGCGTCGAAGGTCGCCGAACATTAGATTATCCTCTACATTCCCTTCCGTCTCCGAATTTCCTTTATCCTCAATTCATATGCTCGCGTTGACCCTTTGCGACTCGAGTCGCCATCAGGAAAGCTCCTGGCTCCTCTCTGCTCTTGGTGACCGCTGCTCGGGCAGCGACGGACGAGGCGACACCGTAGGCGGTCTCGACAGCAGCTCCGAGAGCAAATTACATCACGGCATGATGATTTGGATATGACTCTATCCTTATGACGTATTTTTCTCATTTCAGTTTGTGGCGATATCCACGGGCAGTTCTACGACCTCATGAAGCTATTTGAAGTGGGTGGTCCGCCAGCCACAACCAAGTATCTATTTCTGGGGGACTATGTAGACCGAGGCTACTTTAGTATTGAAGTAAGTATGATGGGAGCGAGGCGCTCGAGTTCCGCTCCGATAATGACTTCGGTTACGGGGCTTCTGCAGGATCAACGTCTCACTTTCTAAGTGATCATTCGCTTTTGCAGTGTGTATTATTCCTTTGGGCTCTGAAGATCTGCTACTCTAATACAGTCTATCTACTGCGCGGCAATCACGAGTGCCGGCATCTGACAGAGTACTTCACATTCAAAACCGAGTGCAAGATCAAGTACTCGGAACGCGTCTACGATGCTTGCATGGAGGCGTTCGACTGCCTGCCCCTGGCCGCTCTCATGAACCAGCAGTTCCTTTGCGTACACGGGGGTCTCTCGCCCGAGATCCATACGCTCGACGATATCAGAAGGTTCGTCATTATGTCACCTTGGCATAGAGCATCCATTTGTCTAACTAGCTCAGCCGCTCGTCTGAATTGTCGGCTGCAGCGGAGGACACTTTTCATCATTAATCTTGATTCGGCTCTGCGTCGGCGCCGACCATGTCCCTCAACAGGTTCATGCAGTCAATTGATTTCGTTCTAACGGAGATTTTCTTTTTCCCCCGGCCATTCACGTCAACAGGTTAGACCGGTTCAAGGAGCCCCCAGCATACGGTCCAATGTGTGATCTACTTTGGTCGGACCCCCTTGAGGACTTCGGCTCGGAGAAGAGTACCAGTGAACATTTTAGCCACAATAGCGTCCGCGGCTGCTCGTACTTCTACTCGTACGCGGCGTGCTGCGACTTTCTTGCGCATAATAACCTCCTGTCGATCATCCGCGCCCACGAGGCGCAGGATGCAGGCTATCGGATGTATCGCAAATCCCAAACAACGGGATTCCCATCGCTGATAACAATATTCTCCGCTCCAAACTACCTAGACGTCTACAACAACAAGGCAGCCGTGCTCAAATACGAGAACAACGTTATGAACATTCGACAGTTCAACTGTTCTCCACACCCATACTGGCTGCCTAACTTCATGGATGTCTTCACTTGGTCTCTGCCGTTTGTGGGCGAGAAAGGTTCGCTGAAGCTCGTTAATTTTAGCTATCGAATAATTCACGATACGCGTATGTCCTTCGAACGTGACCGAGGAGACGCTCACCTCCTAGGCTAATGACTTTCCGTTTCCCTCCCGACAGTGACGGAGATGTTGGTCAACGTACTGAACATCTGCTCGGATGACGAGCTCATGACCGAGGGCGATGATACTTTCGAAGGTATGGTCTCGAAGAATATTATGAGCGAATCGAAGCGGTTCTCGCAGAATCTTCCAAGTCTTATACTAATTGAGGAATTCTTCGTATTACTCCGGTCATGCTTCGAAATTCCAACACTTGAATCAGTCACACCCAGATCTTGTCGAAGCCTAATGTTTTTGATGAAATATTATCGTTCGGGATTCAGGATCGATTTTTGATTTTGCATTCCTTTTTCTGGAATTTCGAATAATGATCCTAAAGAGCTCGTCTCCGTGTGCTGTCATCCATAAACGTCTTGAGGGGAGCGGTCTTTTTCCTATCTTTTTCCAACTCTTTTCCAAAATCCCGAAAGTGTTTTAGCCTCCAGACCCCCGTGTGGGCAACATTTCCAATCGCTCTGTGCAGCGCTGGAGGTCTGCCTCCTCTGTAAAGTTCTGCCGTGCCTTGGAAGCCACATCATTCAATTCGTATTGAGAATCGGGGAGCTTATCAGTTTTCCTCGGAAACCCCGGATAGCCCTGGAAAATGTTTTCCGCCACATCTCGAACCTCTTCTTCGATCCGTCTAGCTGTGACACAAGCGATTCTTGATCTCCTTGTCGTCGGTGTCGTTGACGTCTACTGAAATCTTCGATCTCGTGTCGTGCACTGTTCATGATTTTTCTTTTGATACACACTCCACCCAGAGCTCAAAAAGTTGTACCTCAAAACCGAGTTTCCCATCTTGTTTCCTATCTCTCTAAAAGCCTAAACTTGCACTCTAGGTAGATTTTAAAACTGTTATGGACACCCTTCTCCAGTGCCCCTTGTCCGTCTTAGGGCTCAATCGTTCTCTCGCGAGATGTCTCAATCTTTGGCTTTGGGAATTTCTTCCCGGGAAAGCGCTCCGCCGTTGACGCCAATATCATTTATTCGGAGATGTGAATTTTCCCCGATCGCAGTCCGACCCCGAAGCGTACTCGTTTTCGAAGCCAAGAAGAGAACGCTACGTGACTTCGGCTTTTTCCACGGAGCTATCCGTATTTTTTCCACGATTCCCGACGCTCCCGTCCACCTTTTCGGATGGGTAGCGGAACGGAGGAATTCTTGACGGTCGCTCGAGGGTGCCGAATCGCGCACCTGGCTCGGCATCTGACGCGAATCAGGATTTTGATCCCGACCTAGCGAATAGGAATGAGAGAAGTGATCGACTCTTAAAATTATTCAATTCGCCTAATGCTTTGACCATTTCTTCTTTGTGCCCCCTCTATCTCGCTGCAACGTCGCGCCCTCAGGTCTGCCTGGTGGGGTCGATTCGACGGAGGACAGTGAGTATTCCCCGGTTCGGAGTTCAGAGAGCTTCAAATAATTCATGTCCACAACTCATCACTAGAGTCTAGAATCAACCACGCACGGCGCTACCCGTAGCGCCCTCTCACGTGTTCGTTAATTCGACTCCACATCCCTAACTTAGAAAACCATCTCGTAGAAAATATAATTACGCTAGCTCGCCGTAGTGCCTGGTGCCAACTCGACGCTTCTTTCGTTGAATTTTTTTTCGCCTATCCAGACGAGGGTAGCCAACCTTCCCCCTTTCGGGCTCGCGTGCCTGGAGATTGCTCTCTCCGGCGTGTACGAGCTCTCTAGAGATGCGCGGATCTAATGAGTCGGTTTCCCGCCGTATTTCGAACGACACGGCCGACTGCCTTCCGCGATTGTGAAACCGAGCATTGCGGGTCCCGAAAGAACAAGTCGGGAGAACGTTGGATTCCGCGCTTGAATCCATCAAGCGACCCCTTGTCTGGAAGGTCTTGGCTGAGACTGTTTTCCCTTCCCTTAGCCCCCTTTGATCCCCGTTTCAATTCAATATGCAAGCCCGTTTCAATTCCCTATGTGTTTCTCTGTCATGTTCTCGGGAGCAATTCGCTCTTGGAAATACCTCGTCGGCAATCCGGATTCGAGTGCCTCCAAGTTCGTTTCCTCATTCACAACTTGTTGCATGCTACAGATCCACTACTTCCTCGTAGCTCCTAGACCTGCCTCATTCCGGTCGCCTGCACCGGATCAAGTTGAGGCGGCGATGAGCCGCCTCGGCATGGGGCCGGTGTGTTCAGAAGGTTTCCTAACTTTCGATCGGTGTGTTTCCCTCATTGTCGTTGTCGCTGGTTCTCAATGCATGTCTAAGGTATCTCGCAATTTCAGCTTCTGCTGAATTGAGTTTTAGGTATGCGGAACAAGCAATGCTTTCCGACGAATCCTTGAAAGTTGGGCTTCGTCGAGTCGCTTTTGTGCTCCTGATTAAGATTCCTCTCAATGCCAAATTGAGGAGGGCTCCTGCCCTGCAGTTCACATGTTTGTAGAGAGAAAGAGCGAGAGCGCCCTTCGAATAGAAAGCCCAACGTTCAGCGATCGTCGAGGAAGAAGAGTTTCCGCCTCGAAATTTTATTAATGACGAATTTTGTATTTCATCTCTACTTAAATCGCTTGCTGCACAAATTCTACTGTGACGCCCTCGTTTATAAACCTTGCCGCCGTGGACAATTTGCTCAATCTCGACTACGTAAGTGTGTCATTCAAAGGCTACTGAATGTCGTTCATGTTGTGCCGGAACCTATAGATACCAATATGGGTTTACGGGGAATCTTCACAAGAAAAAAGCTGCCGTCTTCGCATTCAGTCCATCGGTGGACCCGTACCCTTGATGTCCCTCGAGGTCCTTGCCAGTCTATACCGATCGCGGTGCTTATGAATATGGCCGAATCTTTGATTTCTTGCCATGGGGAGCTTTCGATAATGATGATGCTTGGAGTAATCCATGGGTGCTTCGGGAGGGGCGGGGGCCTCTAGTAACTTCCACTCGGTTTATCAACTATGGATTTACTGTGGGTACTTATCAAGATCATCATTTGGAATCTCGGGTTGCGAACGACGATGACTGATCGGAAAGGCCGCTGGAAAGCCGCGGGTTTGCGAGAAATAACGCCCCAGTCCCATTCCGAGGCCCATCCACTCTATATCGGCGCGGGGCTCCCGCCACTATGAAATTCTACCGGCAAGGGTCTTCTGCAGGAACGCCGTCAAGAAAACTCTCCGGCTTCACGGGGCGCCAACAGTCGTACGCCGCTCTCAGTTTTGCCGTTTCAACCCTAAGACAGATTGGAGTCCCAGATCAATTAAGTCCAAACTGATATCAGCCCCGGAAGAGATCTGAAAAAAAATTACTCTCTTGAGGAGACCCGGACCCTCTCGAATTTGGGGGAACCGCGGGTCAGGTTGAAACGGCAAGAGCGCATGCGCTGCTCGGCTTGTGGCGATTTTCCTCCAATTGTCGGATACACATGCATGCGACGCACGAGTGCCTGAGAAATCGAAACAGTTTATGCGCTACTGTAAACGTGCTATACGGTCTCCGCGAACGAGTGATCGTCAGATCGATCGAATTCCATCCCGCTGCCTAGCGAAAGCTTCGGCATCGACTCAATCGGAGCGATTTGCTTTCTCAGTTTGGCTGTTTCGATGCATATTCGTGTCAAGCGTCTTACAGACATTCTTCAAGGAAGAAACAAAGCGTGAACAGAAAAACGAGACTTCATGCGTCCTATCGTACCGAACATCCTCTTTTCTCGACGCTTCTCGGATGTTTTCCCTCTCTTTCTCTCTGTCATAGGACACTGATACACTGACACAATAGAACATCAGATGCTCCATGCTGGGGATTAAGGTCCCCTTCTACTCTTGAAAAATTCGAATCAGAATCCCTCGATCTTGTCCCTGACTTGGCGACAGATCTTCCAATCTTGGCGAGAGACAGATTCGATGATCAAGAAGTTTGCAAATCACTTGCTCTGCGGGGGACCGCATAGCTGTTTACGTAGAATGGATCGGTCGTGTGATCTGCCAAATACGGCGGAACGGCTACAATGAATCCCCGTCCGGCCGGGGTTGTACCGTGAAGGCGAGCTAAGCCGTTTCTTTTGTCTCAATTCTCCTTTGTATATCAGGTGGAGCAGCCAGCGCACGCAAAGAGGTTATTCGCAACAAAATCCGTGCTATTGGCAAGATGGCTCGGGTCTTCTCTGTGCTGAGGTGAGTGCAGCTGCGAGAGTCGACGGAAATTCTCGCATCCCGGTCGTCAACGATATCCTCCGCTCCCGTCTGGCTTCAGAGCAATTTCATTTTTATACGTTCCCGTACTCGCCTTCCAGGGAAGAGAGCGAAAGCGTTTTACAACTCAAGGGTCTGACTCCTACCGGTACACTGCCCATGGGAGCCCTATCAGGAGGCAAGACATCGCTACACAGTGGTCAGTATCTGCAGATGGGCTCCCTCCTCGGATCGAAGATTCAAAAATATCATGGATTACGATATTGAGTGGTGTAGACTGTAGACTCCTCGGCTCCTCGCAATATTTTCCGATCGATCGCCTGCAGACCTCTAGCGTCTCCTTGACTCACGGCTCTCGTCATTTCTAGCACTTGCGGGATTCTCGCCGAACCACAAGATCGCCAGTTTCGAGGAGGCGAAGGGCCTTGACAAAATGAACGAACGAATGCCGCCGCGGAAAGATGCCCCGCCGGCGGCCGACGGCAAAGCGCCTTCAACTTCATAGGTCGAAAACGCGCGAAACAAAATACTGACGGCAAGGGGGCTCGGGCAAAGTGATGGTGTATCCCATCACCATCACTGCCACCAAGAGAGAAAAGAGGGAGCTCCGTCATCGTCGACGTGTCATCCGGTTGCAGCGAATCGAGTCGAGCAGAGCCCAGCATCATAACTTCCTGCATAGTGTCAACCAGGTCGACCCTATAACCAACAAACCAATCAACAGAGAAACAACTGAGAAACTGTTCACCGAAATCTCTTCGAAGACACTCTACTCGTTCACGTAGGAAGCCAGCCGCGATTTGCGGGTCATCAGTTGTCCACGGCCACAACACAGACGTCGTCGCCGTCGTCGTCGTCATCGTAATAATCATGATCATCGTGATGGAGCAAATTTAGACGGGAAACAAACGCATGAATAGCGTGTTCCTACTCCAACGAACCATCAAGAGATGTGCACTAGCAGCAGCATAGGACAACTATTGCGGGAGAAAAATTGCGGCGGATCCTCCGACTCGATTCTCGACACTCCCGTCAACCGGACGCGAGATCAGCCCCTTTCGGATTCGGTGTCGGTTCGTGATGAAGGCAATGAAAAGTGAGATTCTGGGATATCCCACAGAAACCTGAGCGCGAGTACCGACAAAAACTCCGAGAAGGTTTCACGAGCCCCAAGCTTGCCGTCAGCTCGTTGACACACATGAAGAATTAGTCAATAAGTAAGTGACCGCTGTTTCTACCGTTCGAGCTCGAAGCCTATTCATTCCCTGCATTGATGAATATGAGAACAGATCATGGAAAGAAATCTTCCGACTTTTGAAACTGGAACCAGAGCTTCAACAGACGACCTCCAGCAGCAGGAGCATCTGAAATGTTTCATCCTTACGGAAGCATGAAAACAAGTCGAAGAAATGGAAGGATTTTCCGGAACGGAGAGGTGGGAGCGCAAGAATGGAGTTCACGACTGAACTGGAAATTGTAGAGTTTATAAAAGAAACATACCAAATCGCAATTCACACATGACTGGAGCGGGATCGCCGACGGAGATTTCTGTTCAATCATGATAAATGAGTCATGATTGTGATGCAGAGAACGACCGCTGTAAGGAAAGCCGTGGCGTCTGTCGTGAACCACAGTTGATAGTATCGGGGAGAACTTTTTCGTCTTTTATCTTCGGTTGTTCGGGAGCCACAGGATAACCGAATGTGTGCAATGTTTTTGAATGGCGACAACTATCTACCGCATATTCCTGTGTGAGAGCCCTGCGACGTGTGATGACATGCGGCGGGCGGAAAGACAGGCGCACGGACGGACGGATCTTTGAATATATAAATATAATATATATATAAATATAATCTCCGTCGAGTAGACCTTTGGGTTCCATCGTTCTGTTAAGGAGTCCCTGCGCTTCAAATCCTCGTTTTGCTGTGATAGAACGGGCGACGAGCGGGCGAATGGGCGGACGAGAGCCCAGCCCCGATTTCAAGCGGTCGGGGACTCATTGAAGACATTACCGTCACACGTATACAAGTGTGCAGCCCCATAAATCGTTGATTCACGAAGATATCATTTCGACCCTCTCCCGGGAACGCCCGAGATACCCTAATTTTAAAGGTTTTGCTAGAGTCTCGGTCATTTTTGTTACCACATTGTCTGATGATCGCAGGTCATGGAGAAATCATTCTTAACGTCATTATGATTGCTGTCCTTCCTCATATCGCCATTGGTCTATGGTCACTATGATCATGATTGAGACATTTCCATTCTTATCGCTATCAGAGGAAACTCGCCGTCTTGCGTCCATGTGGCTCCAAAAGATACCTTATGAGGGGACAAGATTCACGAATGAAATGAATGAACACATGAGGTGGGCGCGAACTCAATCATCGGGAAGTCGAAGAGATTTTCGATAAAAGCCTCCCGCCCACCGGGTTCTCCATCGAGCGATATTCCATCATGCGCTCCATTCCGTGGCAATTTAACTTCTTTGGATTCCTAATCGAACGATCGATACATGGCTTGATCGATATATTCATCTTCATTGCCACAATAACCAACTATTACTATTACTGCTGCTACCATTCGATTTATACCATCATGATTATTATTATATGAACTGACATTAGCTATTATTATACTGTTACTATTATGATGAGTGTGGCATTGATGGCCGAATATCATGTCCCATTTTTGCAATCACATTTCTCAAGTCAAGATGGAAGAAGAGAGAAACGATAAGCCTTCTAATATAAACTTCCTATGGAACCCCCAATTCACATTGAGAACTAGTTCGAGTCAGAGTGAATCAAGTGATTTTGAGAATTTTTTCTCAACATAGTGGAAAACAGGTGAACCAAACCACGGCAACCACACCATCTTCCCAAGTTTTGATTGATTGGAAAACTGATTGTCGAGTGATTGTGGATTGATCTATTGATCGAGTGACTGATGGGCGAAATGCCGAATCCGCTCTGCAGGCTATTCATCCGCAGTAGAGACAGAGACCGTCAGCAGATTACATCAGGACTTTGTGGTTCTCGCAGTCGTTCATTTCATTGGATCGAGAAGTCGAAAGGGCGCCTCTACGAGCCCAAGAGCACCCCTGGCCCGGAAAAACGGGGGACGTGACCCGACGCTCGACTGGGAATGACGTCCGCGGAGGAGGTCGATGTCACCGGCATCAGAGACGTAAGGGGGCGGGCGGGAGAGCAGACAACCACAAGAAACCTACCCGAACGGAATGGATTTTTGTAGAATCGCAGGACGAGAGAAAATATAATATATATATGAAACGCTCCAGATTCTACTCACACTCTAAACGAACACTGGAAAGTGGGCGGAAAAAGATCCTAAGGAGAGCGTGTGTACGAAAGGGAGCAGAAGAGAGTGTGAGTGTGTTGAGTAGTAGCGAATAACGTTTTATGTGAGGGGTATTGATGTTTTCGCCAGATGCGAGATTCGTGGTCGACTGACGGTTCATGTGAGTGACGGCCCGATCGATGTCGTCACCGACGTCTCCGTTGCGTCGTCGCAGCGCCGTCGTAACGCGCTCCACCCGTCGCGAATGATTCAGTGCGAGAGTGCGATTTTCAGTCTCGTGCGAGACGATGATAAGATGATGATGAGGATAAGATGAGATGAGGCACGGCGATACTGGAAGGAACTTGCGCTGTCCCCCGCCATTGAGAGCCGGGGCAGCGAAGTACAGCAGAATGGGTGTGAATCGAATTGTATCAAACACCGTCGCGTGGTCAGTCCGATCTGGTTTTTCTCCTACCCTGAGTTTTGGCTGTCTGTCATCAACGTTTTCTCCCCTTTCACTTTCCACCACTCTGATCGATTTCTCCACAATTATTATTGAAGAATTATTATTGATGTTATTATCATCGTCGAGGTTATCAATATCATGAATGATTTTCGTTGAATGACGACAATTCTCCCGCCTGCAACTCCTCAACTGATTAACCCACTTCCCCATCTCCGGCGCAGCAGACATCACCGGCTGCGATTCAATCAACCGATAGGAAATCGGTGCACGTAATTTTCTTTCGTGTCACTTTTTAGCTTCATCTTGCGCTCTACATCGTTGAATCTACCGATTGCAGAGACACCAACCCACTCTAATAATATTAAAATGAAATCTCGTAATTTCTACGATCTGGACATGAGTGCATCAACCTATCCATTCACCCATTCAGCCCTAATCCTGTACAGAGGAACAGTGAGAGGCACAGGCGCTGTGGTGAATTGGGACTCGACCGGACCGATCAATGAGCTATCGAGATCGATTGATCATTGATATTTTCACAGCTGTGGCTCTTAAGGGATTCCCCGAGAGAATATTGATTAGGTGGATCGATAGAGAGTTCAAATCGTTCCATTTCGTGCATCGATTTCGGATTGTTTCTTCTCCTGACATTCGGAAGATATGTCGTCGGCGTCAGCAGATCTGCGAAATAAAGTCGCTGAGCGAAATCCCTCAAGAAACATCTATAATTATCGTCATTAATATCATGGTTCCTCCCACAATTATATCTAGCATCGCTGACGCATACATTCGATTGACTGCTTGATGGATTGATTGACTGACTGATTGAATGAAATAATAGCAATGATAAATCGATCGACACATTGGGCCGGTGGCCAGTGGTGGTGGCGGCCTCACACATTGGTCTGATACGTCGCATTGAACATCATGATGATAATTGAAAACCTATTGATAAGGGTAATGATATTAATAACAATTGAAAAATGATAATGATGACAATAATAATTCATTGTTCTTCTACTTCTTCGTCCTTGACTGACACTGATAAATAAAATGGAGACCGAGCTTTTTCTCCTCAACATCTTCGCTCTGATTCTTCTGCTATCCACGATCTTCCAGCTTGCTTATCACATTCTCTGATCCCAAACATTCCGAAACTGGAAGTTGCCACGAATCTCTGAGTTTCAGCCTGCTCAGTCGTCAGGGGAGTCTGCTCTATCCAGCGAGACACCGACGAGCGTCAAGAGTTGACGGACATCATCGAACGCGAGAAGACATTCGTCTCTACATAGGCAATTCATTTCCTGGACAGTATGCCGAGCGTAGAGGGCCTGCTGCCGTTGATTCGCCTGAAAGAGATTGATCGCGGCTTCTCGGCAAGCAGGGTCCCGTATCGGATTAAGGAGCGAAATCGGAATGGAGCGAAATCGGAACACTGGAACGAAATCCTCCTTTTCACACATCATCCACCAGCTGACACGACAACGGAATGGGCTGTCCGCCGTATGCTCCGCGGCAGTATTCCCTCTGATAATTTCACGCGATGCTCCCCCCCTGCGGCTTCATCTACAGACGTGCCACTTAGGTGAGAATCTGGCGTGAAATTATGCCGGCATTCGAATTAGGGTAGCATTCAACCTCACCGCGATTTGTCTAGATCTGGGGCACCTCGACATTGGTGAAAAACTCCATACAAGCTTTCACCTCTTACGCGATCAGCATAGCGGTGCCGAATCCATCATCACCGTTCACTGCCTCCGTCCGGAATCTTACGTTTTTTCTTTGGGGTAAACTGAGGGACGCCGGCGTCCTTCGCGCCACTCCAAAGATCAAGAAGTGAGAGTTTCCTCTCGAACGTCATCAGATATCCGGAAGCCTTCATGTCGAGCTCTTTCCTGCCATTCGTCGGTCTCTCTCCACCACCAGGAATGCGATCGGTGTCCTTCAAAGTGGGACGGGTGGGGACTTTTTCTCTTCCCTCCCGGTAGATGGAATATTTCCGCACTATACCTCCAGGATCGTTTCGACCGAACTCGGCTCTCGAAGGCGAATCACGGACCCACAGCTGTGGCTACGAATGCCAAGCCTCTCGCGGTTACTCTACACTGCACCGGGGATAGCGACTCATCGTCGCAGCCCAGGAGCCAGTGACTTCCCTGATCGAGAGATTCATCCTCATCCTGTATTTATGGATCATCACAATGTCTATGAGACACGTCGATAATTCTGCTCACCCAGCCTCGGGGGTAATGACTCCGGGATACTCGTTCGCGAAAAATTCCGCGCTGCTTCACGTGTTTCGGTCGGGAATTACTTCTCTTCTCAGGGAAGCGAAAGAAACTCTCATACTCCTTGTTCTCGAATGCGTCTCGCTGTAATCGCGATGAGGATAGCGCAACGACTCCCGGGCTCTCCCGAGTCCGTTATCCAGACAAATGACAGCGCACCACTACATGGAGTTTCTATCGGGTTCTTCCAGTCGTCTCTGTCGAACTTGCCGATTGGGGAGGGAGGCACACTCAAAATGGCCCCGGAAGACTTCTGCGAAGCTTACAAAGGACGATTGGATATGAACATCTCTCATGTATCACTAGCCGAGCTTTTTCGCCGATCTCCTGACGATCGGGAATCCGAAGCGCAAATGAGCGGCTGTATTTGGCTGTGGAAGTCTTTGGGCTCGGCAATGTGACGAAACACCTCAATTGTCGGTCACTCCGTCAGAATGCCGCTCCCCAAGCGGTACACCCCAGCTCGCCGCGACCAGCTCGCCGCGACCCAACTCGCCGCGGCCGACTCGCCGCGACCCAGCTCGCCGCGGCCGACTCGCCGCGACCCAGCTCGCCGCAGGGTCCAACTCGCCGCGGCCCAGCTCGCCGCAGGACCCAGCTCGCCGCAGGACCCAGCTCGCCGCAGGACCCAGCTCGCCGCAGGACCCAGCTCGCCGCAGGACCCAGCTCGCCGCA